AGAAATGTGCTTGAAACCAGAAGAATTATCTGCCAGTATAGTGACACAATTTTTTTTTGATAATATTACTTAAAACAGGTAAAAATATCTAGAAATAAACTTAAGAAATAAAATCTTAAGGGTACGACCATCTCAAAATAAGAAATATTAGATAGATCAATTAGAATTAAGATGCTATTTTTTGCCATGTGGAGCATATCTGACCTTGTCTGAGAGTTTGTTCCAGCATTTGGCAGCATAGTGACTGAATGCTGCATGACCCTGTTTGGTTCTGATTCTGGGCTGTACTAACTGACCCGTCGAGAGTGATCAGAGAGGCCTGTTGGGTTTGTATACTTCAAGCAGATCAGCAGTATATTTTGGTGCAAGGCCATTCAGAGATTTATATACAATTAGACACACTTTAAAGTCTATTCTGTACTTAGGTGATAGCCAGTGCAGTAACTTGAGGACTGGAGTGATGTGCTTGGATTTCTTAGTTCTCCTAAGCATTCTAGAAGCTGCATTTTGAATAAGCTGTAGCTTAGATGTAGCTGTGTGTGGTTTTGGGAAGATTGGTAAAGAGACAGTAGTCAGAAGTCCAGCCAGCTGGAGATAAATGCGTGAGTTTTATAGGTCTTGTTGTGACGAGAAATTTTTAAACTTTGATATGTTCTTGAGATGGTATGCAAAAAGTTTCCAAATGTCCCATTCACTGTCCAGCTCATTCAGTCCATACACAGAAACTAAACTGTAAAAACAGCTTGATTTGAATTCACTGTTTCTGTGATGTCACTGGAACTGACTCATTTACATATATCCACCTATGTGGGCTACAGCCGTTTAGCTCCACCCATTCACACTGAAGTTATAAGGAGTGTTTCAGCTCAGTGCATTTTGAATCAGGCAGCCAATCAGAACAGAGCTCATTTTACATATGTCAGTTGTTAAGGCACAGTAACAAAACCGTCCTGTTTAATTGTAAGGGTTAAGGAGAGGCTGGACAATGGTCATGTAAAATGAAATTATGACCATTCTTGTTACATAAAACCACATAAATGTTATAAGTGGAAGTCAAAAAAAAAAAAAAATCCAGAATAAACGTAGCATATAGACTCTTTAAATGTAATGACATAATTACGTCATAATTGTATATTTACATAATGATTTATATTCCCATTCAATTTACATCCTGTATCGGCAGGTTCAAACCTTGTTTGTTTCATTCAATAACTTCTTCAAATTCAAATCATAATATATAATATCCACTCTTCTACTTTCCACACAGTTTCTCCGCTTACTACACTGAAATGAAATAATCTGTATATACTTATATTTTATGTACCAAAAACAGTCATAATTCATTTTCCAATCTCTCTTTATTCTTTAGAATTAAACAGACTGTTTTTGGACCTGTGCCTTTAAAACTGATATATGTAAATGACCTCTGTTCTGATTGGCTGTCTTGTATTGTGCCTCCGTAAAGAACTGTGGAGTGAATGGCACATTTTGAAACTTCAACAATTCGCTACATCAAACTATTTTCATGATATGGGCCCTTTCTCCACTTCTGAAATATGAGGTATTAAATGCATATATATAAATATATATATAGATGAATTTATACATTTATATATACAAGTCGGGTTTATATTGTTGGACAGTAACAGTGATTACACACAGTGATGAACAGTAGTGCAACATGCTTTAGTTATTACTGGCTTTAACTGTGACTTTTTTAACACTGAATCGGGTCCATACTGCACTGTGAAAGTGCTAATATTGTTGTGTAAAGTCACGTCTTTGCTATTATGGCCTGAGGAAAACAGCACTGATGCTGATCCTAAGATAATATCACTGCACATTGCAGATAAGACCAAGAGATAATGCATCTGCTCCTCCAGGGCTCGGTAGCAGGTTAGCAGCTCGCTAGTTTGAGGCCCAGGTTGTGTTTTGATTATGTCCCACTGATTAGAGGAGAATCTGGAAACTATTCTGTGGTTGATTTTGTGGTTTGCAAACGAAGTGGCTCGTACTGATTGATAGCATTAAAGCAGCGTCACTCTCTCTCGTCGAGTCAGTCCGGTTTGGAGAATGGAAACAGAAAATGTCAGGTGTTCTGTAGAGGCTTGTGCTGTATTAACCCATAAGATATAACTGCATGTAACCAGAAATGCATACAAAACCTTAATTTTGTACACTTTCAAAGTGATTTTGTTGCATGATTTCCTCCAAAATACTTAGCTGTGCTGTTGCTTTTTACAAACTCAATTCCAAAAAAGTTGGGACAGACAGTAAAATGCCAATAAAAACAGAAAGCAGTATATTATAAACCGACTTTGACCTGTATTTGAACAAAAACAGCAAAAAACAAGATGTGTAATGTTTCATCCTATCGACTTTGTTTTTTGTAAATATTTGGTTACTCTGAAATGGCATCTGCAACACAGGGGCAATTAAAGACTAGGAACATTGTGAAACATTCAAAAACATCTTAAACAGGTATACAGATACAATTATGCTTGGACATAAAAGTATCCAATAAAGGTTTAGTCCTTTATAAGCAAGGACGAGTCGATTTTTGCCATTTTGCACAAAATACATCAGCGAAAAATCCAGAAGAAAAACAATGTGAACAAGCAAATGCAAGGATGGGTATTGAATCCTCTACAGTACGTAATATCCTCAAAAATTCAGGGAACCTGGAAAAAGCTCGGTGTGTAAATCACTGGTTCTTTTTTTTATTAGCATTTCACACACTATCCCAACCTTTTTGGAATTGAGCTTGTAAAAGAACAGTTCAAAAAGCAAATGTTGCTAACAGTGATGGCCAATAACGCGGAATTAGCATTATCCTAACAGGTGGCTATAACTTGCAGCAAATTTGGTCAAGCATTTGCTTTAAACTGGAGCTGGAATATATAGTTTATTTTTCTCTCTTATTTATAACAATCAATGAAAATGGATGGCCACTAATTAGCATTATGCAAATGACAGCATGCTAACTCAAGTCTACTAACAGCTATTGTTGTTAGCCATATTTGCTTATTTGGTTGAGCTTTTAGTTTAAATTGATAGAAATATTGTCCACTTGTAGTTGCTAAAAATGAGGGAAAACCATTAGTGACCAGTTAGTGTTACGTAAGTGACATCATGCTGACATCATGCTTGTTTTACAACATGGCTAATTACTTTAAATTGAAGCAGTGTCCATGTAGTGATGTTAGCATATTTTGTGAAGTTATTCTTTCAAATTGAAATGAAAAGGTGTGGTGTTCATTTGCCAACAATGAAGGAAAGAAAATAGAGACCAGTTAGCGCTTTGCAAATTACTAACAGGTGGCTAACATTTACTGCAGCAATATTAGAGATCAGGCTATTATGTGAAATTAAGGCTCAGGTCTATTATATGCTGTTCATTTCTAATTACTAACAGTGAGTGAAAGCTAATAGCAAGTAACATTTATTTGGCTACTAGATTTCATTATAGCCATATTAGCATCCTGTAAATTGAGGTGAGCAAGTTTATTGTTTTTACTCTCACTCTTATTGCTAACAGTGACTGAAAGTGAATGGCCACAAATTAGCATCATGACATCTGGCTAACTCATGTCTACTAGTTTTCATTTTTAGCCATATTAGCATACCTCATCAGTTTGTTCTTTTTAATTTGCAGCTATGAAATATGTTGTTTATTTAACAACAAAGGAAAGCTGGTAGTGACCCGTTAGCATTATGCAGGAGACATCAGGTATCTTCTTTGTTAGCCATGTTAGCATATTTAACTAGTCCTGTAAATTGAGGTGAGGAAATGTAATAATCTCAAACGACTCCCTGCTCCCTAAATAGTGCACTACATAGGGATTTAAATACTGGATCCTGCAAAAAATGGTGCAAAATATAACTAAAAATAGTAATCTGGGACTCCGTCCCAACCACACTTGATAAATGGAGCACTATTTGGCTGTAGAGGCTAGAATTTCTCCACTTTCTTAACTTAACTATTTAGGGAGAACGGAGCCATTTGGGATTCAGTCTGAGTTTGATGCTACTTCTGACTGAAACATGAACATTTAAAGTGTGTAAGACATTCAAGTGACATTTTTTAGACTTTTATACTGCCATTTTACAGTTAATCATACTTTAAGTACTTTAATTCAAGCAGGTGATATTAATGATGGAGTTGTTTAGGTTGTTAGCTATCTTTTAGCCTGTTGGCTAGCTGACCAGCCTAGTTCTAGTTAAGAACATAAGTCACCAGCCCCTCAGTTCAAACAAAAAATGGGTTCTTACTTCATCAATATACTCTGTGGTCCATTCAGTTTTAATCCTAAAAGGGAATGAATTGAAGTTAGTAGCCACCAACTAACATTAGGCATGTAACATCATGCAATCAGGTGGCTACTAGCCTCCATTCATTGTCAGCCATGTCAGTGTACTTGGTTTTTTCCCCCTCTTTCTTCTCCCTCTGCTGTTTCTCTCTCTTCACATCAGAGTTTTTCACATTCTTGACTCCACATCAAGGGGACTTTTGCGAGTGCCACAGGCTGGGAGTTGATGAGAAGAGCCTGAGTTAGTTTGGCACATCTGAAGCGAAACCCTGTCAGTTTCACAGCGTTACGCAAGCTCTGTTGTCTTCGTCTGAGTGCCTCTGTTAGCCTGAGATTAGAAGGGAAGCTTGGCAGCCTGAGCTGCGGGACAGGTGTGCCGTCGTACCTTTGAGCTGTTTGAAGAAGCCGTGCTGTCTGTGGCCCAACAAACGCTGCTGAATTTCTGGGTGGAGTTTTTATTGGTTAAAGCATGTTTTCCTGTACAGGCACGAGCAAATAAACAAATTTGAGTAAACCAGCAAGCAAGCAAAACATCTGACAGTTTTAGAGACAAAATTTAAATAAAAAGCACAGATCTGATTTAATCAGGTTTGAACCTTTTCCTGACAGCAGAGCATTTACAAAGTGAATCCACCAGCTGGGATACAATTATCAACAATATAATACTTTGAAAGGCCTGATCTTTTGCAGGAATTGTGAGGGGAGGAACATCCGTTACAGAACGTGCAGCAACACAGTAAGTCAATATCAAACTATTCAAATGTGTTTATTGTTTTATGATTTAAAATGATTATTCAGCTATAAATTAAATGTACAAACCTTTTTACAAGGTTCTGCACTGGGGCTACAAAACTGGATATAACTATGCAATAATTTTTAAAACATTTTAAAAGATTTATATTGATATATATATATATATATATATATATATATATATATATATCAATAAATTTGTCTAGACCAATATAGCACTATGCTAACAGGTGGTGACTAATTTTTAAGCTTTCTTAGCCAAATTAGCTTATTGGGTGAAGATATTGCTTTAAATTAGGTCAGAAAGTTGTTAACAGTGACTGAAACTGAATTAGCCATTAATCAACATTGACATCATGCTACCTCATGCCTTCTATTTGTTGTTAGCCATATTAGCATATTTTGTCAAGCTATTTCTTTAGCTTACAGGTAGTGAAGTCATATACCAAGCCAATAAGCATCATGTTAACTGTATGCCTATATCATCACTTACCTTAAATAGTGATGAGAAGTAAATAGATGTTTCTAATAAAGTGGCCAGTGAGTGGAAGCACAAGGTAGGTGTTTCTAATAAAGTGGCCAGTGAGTAGAAGCACAAGGTAGGTGTTTCTAATAATATGGCCAGTGAGTGGAAGAACAAGGTTGGTGTTTCTAATAAAGTGGTCAGTTAATGGAAATACAGGGTAGGTGGTTCTAATAAAGTGGCCAGTTAGTAGAAGCACAAGGCAGGTGTTTCTAATAATATGGCAAGTGAATAGAAGCACAAGGTTGGTGTTTCTAATAAAGTGGCCAGTTAGTGGAAGCTCAAGGTAGGTGTTTCTAATAATATGGCCAGTGAGTGGAAGAACAAGGTTGGTGTTTCTAATAAAGTGGTCAGTTAATGGAAATACAAGGTAGGTGGTTCTAATAAAGTGGCCAGTTAGTAGAAGCACAAGGCAGGTGTTTCTAATAAAGTGGCCAGTGAATAGAAGCACAAGGTTGGTGTTTCTAATAAAGTGGCCAGTGAATAGAAGCACAAGGTTGGTGTTTCTAATAAAGTGGTCAGTTAATGGAAATACAAGGTAGGTGGTTCTAATAAAGTGGCCAGTTAGTAGAAGCACAAGGCAGGTGTTTCTAATAAAGTGGCCAGTGAATAGAAGCACAAGGTTGGTGTTTCTAATAAAGTGGCCAGTTAGTGGAAGCTCAAGGTAGGTGTTTCTAATAATATGGCCAGTGAGTGGAAGAACAAGGTTGGTGTTTCTAATAAAGTGGTCAGTTAATGGAAATACAAGGTAGGTGGTTCTAATAAAGTGGCCAGTTAGTAGAAGCACAAGGCAGGTGTTTCTAATAAAGTGGCCAGTGAATAGAAGCACAAGGTTGGTGTTTCTAATAAAATGGCCAGTGAATAGAAGCACAAGGTTGGTGTTTCTAATAAAGTGGTCAGTTAATGGAAATACAAGGTAGGTGGTTCTAATAAAGTGGCCAGTTAGTAGAAGCACAAGGCAGGTGTTTCTAATAAAGTGGCCAGTGAATAGAAGCACAAGGTTGGAGTTTCTAATAAAGTGGCCAGTGAATAGAAGCACAAGGTTGGTGTTTCTAATAAAGTGGCCAGTTAGTGGAAGCTCAAGGTAGGTGTTTCTAATAAAGTGGCCAGTGAGTGGAAGCACAAGGTAGGTGTTTCTAATAAAGTGGCCAGTTAGTGGAAGCACAACATTGGTGATTCTAATAAAGTGGCCAGTTAGTGGAAGTGCAAGGCAGGTGTTTCTAATAAAGTGGCCAGTGAGTGGAAGCACAAGGTAGGTGTTTCTAATAAAGTGGCCAGTTAGTGGAAGCACAACATTGGTGATTCTAATAAAGTGGCCAGTTAGTGGAAGTGCAAGGCAGGTGTTTCTAATAAAGTGGCCAGTGATTTGAAGTAGGGCCATATTCAATAAGGATATACAGGACGTAAAACATGTAATTTTGCGTACGACTGTAGATTCATATTCATGTGTTTGCTTGCTCAAAGTAGAAGTTGGTATTAAAGGGTTATTAAAGACATAAATGCATGATTTATAATGATTCCTGTTTTAGTTTTCACTTCAGAACATCTCAGGAGAAATGAAGCTTCGCTGCACACTTCCTCAATAAAAAGAAAGAGAGCCAAGATACGAAAAAACATCTCATAGCATTTTTACCAAACCTGCTGGCAGATTTCTCCCCACATGAGCTCTGATACTGGCTGGCAGGACGTTCATACATGCAGCTGGTGAGATGGAGCTCAGTACGGCTCTGCTAGGGCCTTTAAAGACCATCTGATTTATCGGTTATATTCTCCTTCTTCTGCTACTGTACAATATGTCACCCACAACTAGCCTGAGCTAGCCAGAAATAGAACCGAGTGCAGCATTCTCATCCAAGTTTTTCTTCTAAGGTTGTGGTCAAGCATCTGGTAAAGTCCCCCTGTCCTGTCCCTTTCAACAGCAGAGGGAAAAGCCAGGTTTTCCAGCTCGTGTGACGTCCATTGCGGACGTAGCCTCGCTACATCTTCATCAGGCCATTTCTGAAGAAGCCATCTGTCCTTCTCAGTTCATTTTAATCAGTGGCCTGTTTTTCCACCATTGAAGTGGTTTCGTCTGAGCCCACATTAGCCCTGGTTGGGGCCAGTTGGGAAAACGTCCCTGCATAATGTCCATAGCGCTTCTGTCAGAATGATGGATGTTGAGAGAGGTTCTTCTGTGTCAGGCTTCATAATTGGCATTGATGGAGTTAGCTTCTGAGCTTGGAGGCGCACGACTATTTATTTCTCTTTCTGACCCCTTAGATCAAGCCGTGTCATGTTGAATTAAGGCTGTTTCTCGAAGTTGCCTCAATCATGTGCATCTTCCGGGCGGAGCAAGTGGGAGGCTGTTTTTAGAAGAGTTTTGGAGTGATGATCAAAAATAAAAGCCCTGGAAAACAGAGTGGATTGGGCAGAGATGTGTCGTTAGCAATCCTTTCCTCTGTCTTTCTACTGGGCTGGGCTGGTTGGAAATGCAATTCAAGCTGACAGAAGTGAAAGGGCATTCTTAAAAATGTGTGAGGTTACAAACAGGAACCTTCAAAGTTGAAGGTTATCTGGTTCAGAGCCTTTTATTAATTATTAACGTGCACTTTCTCTGACTTTTTCACAGAGAATATTTTGTTCAGAGCATTTGAGAGAATTTATTATCCGTGTCTGCTGTGTTAAAGGGATAGCTGCACAAAAAATACCTGTTTAGTTTTACCCTGAAGCTATCAGGCTAACGTAATTAAGAAGTAATGGAAGCTTACACCCCACCAATTAGCATTGTGCAAACTGTAGGCCTAAATCATCAGACACCATGTTGAGTTGTTTATAGACTTGTTTATGTGGTTCCTGATAAGCTAAAAGGTAAATTGGGCAAAGAAGCCCACCCAGATACCTAGACATCTCCCCACTCATATTTTCTCTCCTGAAAAGTAAACTGAATGGCTGTGGTTTAATTAATTATACAATTTCACCTGCATCACAGCATTTCTCTAATTTATTCCCCCACAAACCTTTTTTGGGTCACATTTCACATTTTTTGTTAGATAATAGTGATCTATGTATATATTTGAAGTCATACAAGAAAATTGTCAAAAATATATTATTATGATTATTTTCATTTAACCTGAAAGAGAAAAAGTTAGTTTTACACCCCCCCCACCGCCTCCCAGACAGCACTACTCTACAATACTACACTCTTAAAAAAGATGGTGCTTCAAGGGTTCTTTAGTGGAGAAAAATGGTTCTATATAGAATCACGAACACTCAAAGAACCCTTTACATGAGTAAAGGGTTCTTTGCATTGTCAAAGGGTTCTTCAGACTGATGGAGAATGTGCATGAATGTGCTATAGATGGATGTATATCGAACCTTTTTTGAGAAGGGTTCTAAATATCACCCAAAAGTGTTCTTCTATTGTTACAAACCTGACAATGTAACAATAGAAGAACCCTTTTGGGTGCTATATAGAACCATCTACAGCACATTCTCCATCTAAAGAAACTTTCATGATGAAAAGGGTTCTTTGAGTGTTCATGGTTCTATATAGAACCATTTTTTTTGCTAAATAACTGTTAAAGAGACCATCTTTTTAAGAGTGTACTCAAAAATATTATTCACATCAGACAGTTGTTGATTGTATTCTGGCTATTTAGCATTAGATAACGAAGTGGCTATTAGCTTCTATTACTAGTTAGCTACATTAGCTTGTAGCTCCAGTGCAAATCTAAAGAAGCAAGCGTGTCTTGGCTGATTGGCTAAATTTGGGGTATGGGGGTGGGGTTGTGTAAATTGGTAGACAGATCCTTTAAGGTTAATCTAATCTAACAGGTCATTCATCTAACACCTTGCTTGTTCTTCCAATCAGGACTGCCCTGCCGAGTCAGGTGACTTCAGAGCTCAGCAGTGCTCTGCCCACAATGACATCAAATACCAGGGACAGACATACGAGTGGATTCCGGTCAGTTATGACCCTGTCTCGCCGTGCGCTCTGAGGTGCCAGGCCCGGGGCAAAACTCTGGCAGTGGAACTCGCGCCAAAAGTGCTGGACGGCACTCGATGCAAAGCAGACTCGCTGGACATGTGCATTAATGGCATTTGCCAGGTGAGTCCAGCTCTCCTGTATCTCTGGTCATATAACTAAGTCTGTGCTGAGGTGGACATTGAAATTACAACCAGTAGAACTGAGGAGAAGTGTTGTGCTTAAACACAAGTATTAAACATAACAAGTAGAACACAAACATACATGTAATCAGGTGAGTCCAAACGTGTGTCTAGTACTGTAGGTCTGCCCAGGATCATTTATTAGTAGCACTTATTTTCCTAGTTTTCCTATTTTGGCCATTCAAACCATCTGAAGAGGTGCAGGCTGAAGCCCAGCTGCAGTGCACTGTTGCTATGACACCGAGAGTAGAGTCTTTGTGTTCAAACACAGCTTTTAAATGGCTTTTCATTGATGTTTCATTGATGGCTTTCTTGATGAAACAAAAGTTATTTCCAACTATTTCCAGCAAAGCTTTGAATTTGTTTATCACCAAAGTGCATCAAGTCTGAGGTATTATTTACACTTCTTGTTTAAGCTTTGTTTATTGAGTTTAGGTACTTGAAACATCAGATGCAATTGTATAGAAGAAGAATAAAGAGACAAAGAATAAGCAAATTAGTATATAAACATGTATGCATGAAACATAGTACTACAAATAACTTTAAATAACCCAAAGACAGAAATAAAAAATTATATATATACATACAATCTACAAACGGTTTTTTAATGATCATCCATTATCAACTGTGTGAAAAAGTTACTCAGTCAGCCAAATTTAGTTGATAACTGAGCTCAATTAAATTAGACACACTTAGGCTTGATTACTGCCAGCCCTCTTTATTATAAACTTCTTTTAAACAGAATCTTTCCAGCACTTTGAGGTAGGCAAACATCCAGCACACTATAATGCAATCTAAAGAAATTCTTGAAGAGATGAGGAAAAAAGTTATTGAAATATATCAATATGGAAAATTACGCAAATTAAGCAAATTCTTGCCATTTCCAAATGGAGAAAACTTTGGTGAATCTCTCCAGAAGTGGTTGGCCTACTTAATTTCCTAAAAGAGAAACAAAAGAACGAACATCTAAGGAAATGCAGGCCTTACTTGCCTCAGGTAAGGTCAGTGTTCACAAAAGAAAGAGACTGGGCAAAAATGCCCTCTATGGGAGAGAAAAAACACTGCTAACCAAGAGGAACATAATCAGTCTGAATTAAAGCAATTCTGCAAATCCACAGCAAATTCAGTTACAGGAAGTGTTTGGTTGCAGTTGCTGCTGTTCAGGGGAGCAATTTCTTTTTCACACAGGTGACACAGGTTTTGGAAAAGTTCTTTCCTTCAATAAATGAATAATCAGTTAAAACGGTTTTGTGTTTCCTGCTGTTCTCCTCATCTTATATTACATGTTGTAGGGCGAATATGTTTTCCCAGTGTTGCATTAGTCTAGCTTACACAGATAAATGTTCAAAAATAGAAGTATGTTGAGAGAGAAATGGCTGACAGTTGAATAAATATGTTGTAAAAGGGTGTCTGCCAGGGTTTTTGATTCATGTCATGAAGCCCAGCAGAGCTGAAGTTGAGTTAGCGCTGAAACAGTCCAGTCTGATGCAGTCAGTCTAGAGTCTGTACACTTTCCCAAAACCCAGTTTGACCCTGGCTCCGTGCAGAGAGCCCCTACTCACGCTATCAGTCTCTATTCCATCTTCAGACCACCGTGCAATTGTATTGTGGTTAGCCGTTCTGGATGTCGTGAACAATACACATTTACTCCAATGGGCGTGTAGCTGAAAGAGGAAGGTAATTGAGAAAAAAAACATAAATATTCTCAGCCTTCTAATGGCCCTGTATCTGGAGGTTATATATTGGGGATATACCAAGACTAAACTGCAGTTCTAGAACATATGGCCTATGCATATGTACAGGTATACACATGGTAACTTAACAGGAGAAGGAAAAAACATACTTTACTTTTAATGTAAGTCAGTGGAACCAGATATTTTGTCCAAGTAATTTTGACCCATTTCCTTCAATCTATTCATCATAAAATTTGCACACAACGTAAAGGGTAACAGGTATTTTCAAATTATGTCATATATAAGTGTATTTCAGTACTAACTCAACTCCGCAACCAGTAAAACTGGCAGTTTTGTAGCTGTTACTGTTGGTTTGAGTCTCTGATCAGCAGTAGTTTAATAGAATTTAATTGGAAAAAAGTGCTGCATTGAATTTATTTGATTCAAATGTGTTCGTAATTTCCATATGAAAAGGCTATATAACATAAACACATATATTTCCAAAAGTAAGTGAACTGGAAAACAGTGTATTTATGTGAAAATGATGTACAGTTTTATGCAAAACTTTAGTCATCCTTGGTCAAATTCTATGTTATTGCTGATTTTCTAAGTAAAAATAAGTTAGCACATCCTCTACGTGGCATTTTTCTACCAATTTCAGTTTAGTTGTTGAATTTGAACATATTGGGGAAAATAGAACATAACAAGCGGCTTGTTTTATTTTTTTCTGATATTTTACACTCAGCAAATAAAAGAAAGACTGTTAGACAAATGGCATGTATAGGATTATTTTCACTTAGAAAAAAATAAAACATGGAATCTGGGGGTGTTCAAACTTCTGCAAAAGACTGCACACAGTTAGCTGAATGGGCATCTTCTAATCAATGAATCTTGAAACATTTTTGCAGTCCTAGCTGTTATGTATGAGAGGCTGGAGCCTGCAGTGGCTCCTTGGTTATTCAGGTCAGTTCAGCGAGACAGAGAAAATCAGGCCGTCCTTACTAGATGGCTGAGGAAGCAGACAGGAGCCATATGTGAGACAACTGGGGCCTGCATTCCTCTGAGTGTGTGCATGTGTACTTGTTTTTGTACATTTTCAGGACAAAAATGTACACATAAGGGCTATATTATTAATACATGTAGGTACTTAAAATATATAATATATAATTCAAACTGGTCTTATTATTAATACAATTATTAATACATGTACACGCTATATGTATGTATGTGTATGTGTGTGTATATATATATATATATATATATATATATATATATATATATATATATAGTATGGGCCATATGATTAATATCATTTATATGTAAGAATCTATTTGTATTAATGCTTGCTTGCTTGCTTGCTACATATATAATACATTTGGCTCATTTTATCATCACATATAGGTACATACACAAGTGCAACATATTTGTATTAAATATAGACACTTACTAAATATAATATATAATATGAACATATATAACAAATATGTATTTAATAGGTGCATATTTATGACCCATGTCCTGACATTGTAAAAATCAAGTTTATATGTGTGCGTGTGGATGAGAGAGAGAGAGAGAGGGAGAGAGAGAGAAGGAGAGACAGAGGAGGCAGTTTGGTGTCCAGACTTTGACAGATTTTTGAGTTTCCACTTGACCATGACTGCAGAGTCTGTAGAACAAAAATGCACACTGCTTCATTTCCACTGAGGGAAACTTCCTGGAAATTGACATAATTACTTTCCTTCTTAGAAAGCGTTTCATATAAAGCTGTGATTTAGTGCTAATGCAGCTTCAGTAGAGTTAGATACTGTAACAGGTCCAGAGACTGTTATCGTTAGGGTGGGGTTAAGGATAAAAGTGGGTGTAAAAGTGGGGATAAAAAAGTTATACCTTTCCTACTAGTTTCAAAACACTGAAGAGCTTTACATATGTACTTAGCTCTTACTAGGCCTTCATGGATGACCCTAACAGTCTAGAATTAATACTGTTGCTTTACTATACTATTTTTGTAATGTTAGTGGGTTGTTATGCTGGTGGGTTTCCTCCCGTGAACTGCTTGCTTCGGGTCCTTCCACAACATTTCTATAGGATTAAGGTCAGGACTTTAACGTGGCCATTCCAAAACATTAGCTTTATTCTTCTTTAACTATTCTTTGGTAGAACAACTTGTGTCAAGGGTCATTGTCCTGTTGCATGACCCACGTTCTCTTGAGTTACAGCTCACAGACAGTCCTGACGTTTTCCTTTATCATTTGCTGGTATAATTCAGAGTTCATTGTTCTATCAATGATGGCAAGCCATCCTGGCCCGGTTGCAGCAAAAACAGGCCCAAACCATTATACTACCACCACCATGTTTCACAGATGGAATAAGGTTTTTAACGTTGGAATGCAGTGTTATCCTTTCTCCAAACATAACGATTCTCATTTAAACCAAAAATATCCATTTTTGGTCTCTTCTGTCCACAAAACATTGTTCCAATAGCCTTCTGACTCACAAACTGAACAAATTGCAGTGTGCTCTTTGGTTACCCTGGGTTCCTTTGTGACCTTGCAGACTTTTACAGGCCTTGCTCTTGGTGTGATCTTTGTTGGTCGACCACTCCTGGGGAGCGTAACAGTGGTCTTGAACTTCCTCCTTCTATATACAATCTGTCCGACTATGGATTGGTGGAGTCCAAACTCTTTAGAGAGTGTTGTAACCTTTTTCAGCCTGATAAGCATCAACAACTCTTCTTCTGCGGTCCTGAGAAATCTCCTTTGTTTGTGCCATGATTGTTGTGAAGATTGGACTGCGATAGATCCCTGTTCTTTAAATAAAACAGGGTGGTCACTTACACCTGATTGCCATCCTACTGATTGAAAACACCTGACTCTAATTTCACCATCAAATTATCTCCTATTTCTAAAGGTTCACATACTTTTGCCACTCACAGATATGTAATATTGGATCATTTTCTCATTGGTTTAATTTGGTTCAATTTTTTTGGTTCTACTATTACGACTTGTGTGAAAATCAGGTGAAGTTTTAGGTCAAATTTATGCAGAAGTACGGAACATTCTAAAGGGTTCACAAACTTTCATATAATTACATAATAAGTTACATGCTTTTGTTAATGTAATTACATTTGTTTGAGGCTTGTTATTTTATATGTTAAATAAATATTAAAATATCTCTTTCTTTACTTACACGCATGAATGTGATGTGGATCGAAGGTTTAGAAGCCTCAGTTTCTGTTTAATTTCTCTGCATGTTTAAACGAGCTACAAATAATTAATGTATAATTACAACATGCTGTTGTTCTCATCAACGAGAACTGTGGCTGTAGCCACAACTCAATGTCCTGCTTCACTGACCACTTAGCCTACAGCAATGTTTTAATAATACAGCCTCAGCATACATGATTAAACTCGTAATGCTCACTGCACCTGTTAACGCAGTTGCTGCTGCCCTGCATTGCATCTAATTTGACCCTGATCCCAAGCAGATTAGCCAAAATGTCTTAAATGAAGCCTGACTATGAGGCTATTCCTGTTTACCCGGGGCTTCTGGGTAAAACCCTGTTGTTTACTTTTTGTTGGCTGCCTTTCCCATGGCACTGAATGCAACGTTTAGATTTTTTTCCTTTAAAGCCCTGACTCTGTTCTGTGAAATTTGGCAGTGTTCCTTGTGTGGATGGCAGATTTAGCAAAACAGCGCTGACAGATGCACAAATTGGAGAGTAAATAGTTGGGTTTAGCGTTGTGGGGGGGTGTGCTGAGGATGAAAGCCTGAAACAAATGGCTTGAATTGGACTTTATCCCTCCTTTAGCTTGTTATGTGGTTGAACATGTGTGTAGCTTGTTCTCAGTGGCAAACCATGTCTTTTAGAGCTAGGCTTTCACTTTAGGGCATAAACTCAGTCAAAAAAAAAAAAGAAAGAAAAACCAAAAGTCACAATTAGGATAATGAATTTGAATGAATGAAAAATTTCAGCTAGCACACCTATGAGATGTTTAATAATATATTAGCACTAGACTAACAGTGCATGTTAACAATTAAGTGAAAATAAATTAACACATCCTCTACTACCTCTGCACCTCTGCACATTTTAATGTACAATTACTGATTATTTGCTTAATTTAACATATTGAGGGAAATAAAACATAAAATGTGGCACTTTTTATTTTGTTTGTTTTTCCCAATATGTAAAATTCATAAAAAAACACAAATTGTGCACTAAAATCAGTGAAAAATGTACATATTGAATTTGATTCCCTGTACAGGATGTGTTAACTTTGAAAATATAAAATAATTAAAAATATTATGGAAAGCTCAATAGATACTGATACTGTTAAGCATGTAAAACTCTCTCCTTTCATCTGGTGGTAGTCAGTCGAAGTAGTGGACTTCAAAGAGCCATTATGAAGAAGCCCACTCTCCTTGACTTACTACTACTACTACAGAGTTCTAGTGGTTGGATAGCATAGTGGATAACATCTTCAACCGACATGTGGAAAAAGATTTGAAGTGCTATGACTAGGGCTTACTGTTAATGCTAAATGCTTTTTTCTCCTCTTCCTTCTTCCTCCTCTTCCTGCTGTGTTCTGTCCAACAGGAGGTGGGCTGTGACAGACAGCTGGGCAGCAATGCTAAGGAGGATAACTGCGGAGTCTGTGCAGGGGACGGCTCCACCTGTCGGCTCGTCCGAGGCCAGGCACTGCCCCATGTTTCTCCAGATGAACGTAGGTGTTCTCTAACACGCTTTGACCCCGGTTGGTTCACACGTCTTGAGTATCAGGATTATGTTCAAATTATGCACATTAAAATACACAACCAAGATGCATTTAAAACTGATTTAAATCAGAACCCTCGAACCACCTCTTTCAGCATGACTGGGGACGCAATTGATTACCAGGTGTAAATGCATGTGGTACAAGTCCTCCCAGGTTGCAGTCCACACACTAGATTATTGCTTCTATAAGGGACAATATAAATTGTATTGTTACCTTTAAAAAGTGCTCTATAATGTTCATATGATCTGCACAGACATTCTGACAGATTGTAATACACTACAGGAAGTGTAGGGGGCGATATGACTTCTATTGTTTCATTTAAAAACGCACTACAATGTTCATATGTTCCACACAGTCATTCTGACAGACTGTAATACACTACAGAAAGCGTAGGGGGCGATATCGGTTCTGTTTCAAGACTTTACTGTCAATGATATTGTGATATATAGGTATAATTAGAAGATTAATCAAATAATAGTTGATAGATTCATTGATCATAGAAATAATACTCAGATGCAGCTCTGGTTTGTGCAAAGAAAACACAACACTGCTCTTCAGGCACTCCCATCCACTGACTCCAGACCTGTCACTTTTGTATCAGCGGTCAGCTGTTCTGGTCTGTTCTGGCCTGGTGAAAGTTTGCACTGTGAGCCGCAGCGTTTATTTATGAATATGGCGCTGTTTGCTTGCCATCTGGCCCAACTCCTCTTCCAGATGGAGCAATATGAACGCCATAGAGAGCCAATAGTTATTGTTGTGCTTTGTGGTTTGTATCATAAAATTTAATGTGGAGATAAAAAGCGCTATTCAGACGCCATCATTACATGCGTATATTTTATACTGTAACTGGCACGAGACATCATAGCGAGAGTGCGACTGAAGAACAGCACTTTTATTTTGGTTTATTCCAGAGATTAAGTGCCTCCAGCCTTTTCATAAACTTCTCTGGTTATTGGATCTAGCTATTTAGATACGTTTTTAAAATATTGACTTTGTGTTGTGTTATGCTTTTGAGGTAGCCTAAGTGTTTATTTTAGTCGGCGTATTGCCTGCAAATGTGGCCTCAGGTTGAGGATAAAGGACTCTTTTGAAGGCCGTGGACTTTTCTTTTGCGAGTATTTCGAGGCCAGTCCTGCATTCTTGGAGTTCCGTTGGCTTTGGCTAATGACGCAGGCATTGGCAGGTTTATTTGCATACTGGATTTATAGTGCAGCCGGCAGACGTATTGTTTAGCATATTGGGAAAGAAGATATTTTTGGCTCCTCATAAAGAGTTATTGATTCCCTATGAGGCCAGTGACGGGTCACATTTTTAGGGAAAAGTCTTTGTCAGTGTCGAGCTGTTTTTCTGTCCCGTATTTCATCCTCTTGTCGTTTTTATTATTTGGATTTGCTCTGAGTTTATGGATGTAGTAGAAAGTGCACTGCTGCACAGAATTTACTTGATTTAAACATATACATGAAATATACAATACAAAAATCAGACCACACTGTATTTATTTAATTGTAATTATTTAGTGTGCATTTTTCAGAGACTTGCTTTCAGTTTTTCAAAGAAATCTGCATCTCCAAAGTTCAGTCTTAGAAGTTGGTTGCATTTTCTGCTTTTCATGATCCAACAAATCTCAACAACAAATCATCCCCTTGCAATTATTAGGTTCTGTCTGCATTCTGAGCAGTTTTGAGATATGGAGCTTCAAAGATTTTGCATTCTAAGTAGCAAAACTGATATGTGAACACGTCTCTTTATACATCAAAATGACAGATATCTTAAATGTATTCTAAATGTGCAAGATCAAAATCCTATCGGATTTGTAAATTAGTTTTTTTGGAACAGGTCAAATACAGATAGAACCAAAGAATTTGTAGTGAGGAGAATTACCACTCTGTAATGTCTTCCGGGTTCTCAAACGCTAGAGGGCGCTCCAAAATGAATGGATTAATATGGAGCATTTGAGGAAAATCATAGTTTAGAAATGATTAAACATTTTTAAGATAAAATAATAAATTCATTTCCTGAGCACGACAGCATAAAACATTTTAACACTGCTGTTATTTTTCAAGAGCTTTTGAACTCGAGTTATAGGAGTTTAAAACATCATGTATGTCCATGACGTCAGTGAGCCAGACAGCCAATGAGCTGCTCTGCTCACCAACCAATCAGCGCTCAGTAGCAGTAATGCCAGCGTTCTGCTGCCCAAAACCTGTTTACTGTAGAAAAAGAGAAATATTTAGTTACGTTTTCTTTGCTTTGTTAGTGAAATACATCCTACGTTCTAAAATTAAAGAAACGTTCTGGGCGAGTGATTAGAAACTATTTTAACTTTCGTTTTTAGCCATTTAGCTCCATTCACCCCATTCATTAAGGACTCACTTGCAGGCGCCCTCTGCTGTTTTGCAGTCCTGTTTTTGAGCTAGTGGGGGAAATAGGAAGAGGCCAGGCTCCTCATAAACCAGCTCTGGATAAAACCTTCTAATCCTAAGAACTCACTTTCTGCTTGGAATTATATGGTTCTATCTGGCAACACATCAAAAGAAGCAACAATTTTCAAGGAACACAAACAGTTTACAAGTAATTTGTTTTAAAACATATAATTATAGAGTCTACATTTAACAGGGCATTAAATCTAATGCTTTCTATGACATTTATTTTTATGATTTATTTTTCATAACATTTATTTCTTGTTTTAGGACACGTCATCTTTTTCTTATTTAAAAAAGCATTGATTGATAGGTTAAGTATAATGGTCAGTGCTAAATATTTTGTCCAGTGTAGAGCTCAGTTTTAGGTAGGAACCATTAGTTTAAAAGTCCTTTAGATCAGACAGCGACCAGCTATTGTAATAAACTGTCCCAGCAAGTAAGTGCAGCAGGTCAGTCTAAAGACAGTGTGAAGTTTTGTTTTATATCAGAAATGCTGCATCAATGTTTATGTTGTAATTAAGAGCCCATCAATCCAAATGTTTACTATTTGATTACCTTTAAGACTTAACATTTATACAATTAAATATAATGAGGCTTGCTAAAGAAAGAAAACAAGCAGACTTTCAGAAACCTTTTGATGTTTTGTAAAGTTTTATAAACTTTTCTCACAGTCACTGAGCAGTGCAGCAACATGACAATGAAGCAGAACCTGATGGGCCCTCTTGTGTGTATTCAAAGTGCTGATTTGCTTGTATGTAGAACCTTACAGAACTAACTTAGTTTGACTTCGAAGATAGAACCTCCACATCTCAGATGTCCAGTTTCATCTCAGATGTCCAGTTTGTGTTCTCGTTTTTGAGCCTTTTGTGTAACTTTCTGTTAAATATTGACACTAAAAAAAGGAAACACTTGTACTTAATGACTGTTTTGACCGGTAATGAAGAAAACAATAGGGAGGTCTCTGACCATCACACAGTACTGTATTACATCAATGTCGTCTGTCAGTTTACTTACTTTTGGCACTAACTGTGTTGACGTGATGTATTTTATTAACAGCGAAACGACATGCATGTCTGAATTAAGTAAATTCAATGCTGCACTTTTTTGTACTGTAGCCTGATATGACTGGAAAACCTCGCCAGTCATATCAAATAAAGTGTTTGTGTTCTTCAAATTGCATTTTGTTGCCATAACTAGTCATACTTCAGTCTGGTCCAGCTTTTTCTCACATAAGACACCTCCTTTCTTCAAACAAGCCTGCCTTTGTGCTGTTCGGTGTCCATATTTGGTGATTTTGTTTGTAAACCTTGTTCACAACAGGTCATCTCTGGGCTGCTCGACAAAGGAAGATGTGCTCAAGTGTCCTACACTGGAAATGGAGTTTTGTATTGTTTGTGGAGAGAACCACTGATGAGTATTGGGTCTAGCCAAAGCTTAGCAGTTGAGCTGAGGTGAATTTTCTCACCCAAGACCCCATTTATAGTCAAAACAGAGCAATCAGAGAGCTCTGATTAACCTAAGCTTACCATTTAATCTGCATAATTAAGTGGTCAAGATGTACACAGAGTCATTCAGAGTGGTTTGGTGTGAAATGTTCCATTCTAGAGAAACTTACCAAGTCAGATTGTTCACAGTGGTGGTGACCGCTAGAAGCCCCCCTTTAATATTAAGTTCTCGTTTAAAATCTACCCCTAGAGAAACTGGTGAGTGTGCTGGTCAACGTTGGTCAGTAAACTGGATCAGCATGTGGAGCTTTCTGTGTGCTACTGTGTTTGTTTTCGCACATGTACAGACTGAAAAATGCAAAAGAAATCAGAGTAAGAGTTTACATGCACTGAGAAATCTGATTACTGAGCTAAAGCTCCAGCTCTCTATCAGATTTCTTAATCGGATTTCTAGACCTTACTCCAATCTAAGAAATTAGAGTGTGCTGTTTTCATGACCATTTGAATATTCTGATCATAATCAGATTTCTGCAATTATCTGATTATTGAGTACATGTAAATGCTCTCATTGTTTACTATGATTTCACTTTTAGGGAAAATCATCCATATAGTAGCACAACAGTCCATTAAGACCATAATGTTTTAGAAGTCACTTAGTGCATTAACACAGAATTTAGTTGTTGTGAGCAATTTATGTCAGCTTCAGCCAATCAGAATGCAGGACCAGAACTTCTATAATTCTGATTTGTTTCATCAGAGTAACAATCAAAGGCCACACTGAAGTGTGAAGTGCATCCCTATTCATGTGTTTGCTTGCTCAAAATGATAGCTTAAGAAGCAATACAAAACAAAATAAAAAGTATGAATTTTTTGCTTTGTTAGATTATATTCTTTACATACACTGTTCATTTTTACCTGGATTTCACAATATTTAACTCTTTTTGTCCACGGTAAAATACCGTATTCATCATTGTATATTGGAATGAACTCTTCTGAAGATATTTTCTGCAATTATACAGCAAATTACTGTTTACATTGAGCTGTAATGCATAGCATTATGGGATATGACAGCAAAAAGAAGTATCACGTTTTTGGCCATATTCTTTCAAATTATTAGCAATGCTAAAATAACAATGAAAAATGAAAATTTGCATTTTAAAAGATATTCTGTATATCTTTGAGATATTCTTTGCATATGCAGTGCAAAATGTGGTAAATAAATGTATTAATTTTGTTTTATTTTAACATATTTACAGATATTTTACAATTCTGAAAAGTCATTTTTAATCTGTAAATTTACGGTAAATTACTGGCTACTGATCTGCATGACATTTATGGTTGTTCTATAAAAATACAGGAGATTATTTTAATTCAATTTCAGCTTCTAAGTGGGTGTACAGCAGAATAACAGCTACAGCGCAGTAGTCTTGTGGTGCAAGTGAGTGTGGAGTCACAGTATGACGCTGAATATTTTACTGTAATTTACTGTTAATACTGTACAGTTACTTACTGTCAAAGTAATGCAACTAGTGGCCATTAATTTACAGTAAATTTAGTGATTTATTTACAGTGTACCAAAATAAATGTACCAACAGCATTGAGTAAATCATATTGTTAAAAAAGAAGAGAGCTACTTTTTGCCTTGGAATCAAAGGGTTAGTAAAGTCTGGCATGTTTAGTGCTGGTGGCAGACTGAGGCATTTTCACAGTATCATGCTATTCGCTTTAATAGCCTGTTTAACAAAAAGCGCAGCGTAACTCAATCCAAGTATGTTACGCTCTCTCTAATAAATGCTGTCTAGCTAATAATTCACTTTTCAGTGCTTTGACATGGAGGCGTCATTTTTATCCCACCGGTGTGGGCGTTTTTGGTAGAACTTGAGTAATCCAATAGGTCAAGCTCTCCAGGATCTTGCGCTCCATTGGCTAGCACTCAGGAATCCAGCTTGTCGTCTAACTCTGTGTTATTAATATGTAGTAAAAACGCTCCTAATGAGGCGCTGGCAGTTACGCTCTGTTCTCCTCTCAGTGGTGGTTCTTTCGCTGCATTCCTGAAAGACAAGCGTGGAAAAATAGACACAGCACCGGCCTGTGCTTTTAATTGTTTATTTTTGTTTTCTTCAAGTGTTTTTATTTTTTTTTTGCTCATTTGCTAGCTAACATTTATCATCGCACTCAATTAAGGTGTTCATTCACTCAAAAAGAATGTAGGCGCCATGTTTGATTGACTGTGCGACTTTGGAAGCTTAAGTGAAAGCAATTACACAGCATGTTTAATTTCCAATCACCATGATGGATTAGGTTTTTTCATTCCCAGACTGTTGACCAGGCCTCAAAACTTTATTTCATTACAGCCATTAAATTCCAGGACTCGCCGTGTGGGTTTCCAACTGTAATTATTTTCTCGGGGCACCCAAAACTTTGGCTCAATTCCACAGCTGGACGCAGTAGCTGCTGCCAGACTGGGAAAGCTGCTCTATTCCTCTGCGTTAAAAAGCATTAGCATCGCTAAACCTCACCTCGTATAAAAGGGGTTCCCTCAGCCTCTGTGGCTGGGCTTTCTTGGCAAATTCAAGTAAAATATGCCTTGATTTATAACTAAACTGGCAGCAGTCAGGCTACAGTTAAATCCTCTGGTGTAAATATATTGTTCTGTGTGTTTCAACATGTGTGTTAGCATGGTTGTTTATGAGTGACCATATACCATTCAGAAGTTTGGTAGCTGAAAAAAAATAGCTTGACCAGAATGACCTACAAGACTAACTTTACCTAGCTGGTCAACCAGCATGACCAACTTAACCAAACCTGACTTGACTAGCTTAATCAACTTAACCAAGCTGGGTTATCAGTATGTCTAACTTTACCACGCTGGTCAACCACCATGACCACCATGACCAGCATGAGCAATTTCATCAAGCTGGTCGACCAGCATAACCAGCATAAACAACTCCACCAAGCTGGTCCACAACAATGAACAACTTATCCAAGCTTGTCAACCACCATGACCAAACTAGTCAACTAACATTATCAAGTTAACCAAGGTAATTTGACCAAGCTGGTCTATCAGCATGTCTAACTTTACCAAGCCAGTTGCTAGTCAACCAGCATGGCCACCATGACCTGCACGACCAATTTGACCAAGCTGGTCAACCAGCATGACCAGTATGACCAACTTCACCAAGCTGGTTGACCAGCATGACGAGTATGACCAACTTCACCAAGCTGATCAACCAGCAAGACCAACTTCACCAAGTTGGTCGACCAGCACTATCAACTTTACCAAGCTGGTCAACTAGTATGGCCAGCTATCCAAGCTTGTCATCCACCATGACCAAAGCAGTCAACTAGCATAATCAAGTTATCCAAGCTGGTCAACCTGCATTACCAGCATGACCAGCATTACCAACTTAACCAGCATGATGCATTTGACCAAGCTGATCTACTAGCATGACCAACATGATCATGCTGGTCAACCAGCTTGATAAAGTTGCTCATACAAGTCTGGTTGACCAGCTTGGTCAAGTTCGTCATGCTGGTAGACCAGCTAAACCATCAAACTCAAATGAAAATATACCATATGCTGGTCAACCAGCCTAACCGGGCAGGTGACCAGCACAGAGTATGTTTTTGACCAGCTTAGATCATCTGAAACCAACTACTAGCTGTCCATAGCTGGATTTCTCAGCAGGGTCACGCAATGTAAATTTACCAAAAGGTATTTTTTAAAATAATATGCCTCTAAACTGTTAGGAGGAAACTGTTAGAGTTGGTTGCTAGCAAATCTGCTGATATAATTGTACAATCAAATCCAGCGTCCTGATTGACCACCTATTATACTATCTATCATTTAAGTATTAATTTAAAGTCAGATCAAAAAAAAAATGAAATGTTATGCATAGACACTACACTACAAATAGTGCTTTCCCACTGGCTCTATTCTATTCTATTCTATTCTATTCTGTTCTATTCTGTATTAGGAATGAGTCTTACAGTAGGAGCTGTTGTGTCTGGTTTCTATTTTCTGTTTACTGGATTAGTTTGTTTTTACTCAGGGTTCCCAGAAGCCACAAGTGTTTGTTTGCTTTTTTCAGCCAATCATTTTCAAATTCACCTCTGATTCCGTACAGATGAGTCCATACTGACAGTAAAACGACTAAGAAAGAACGTACATGCACAGACACACACACACACACACACACACACACACACACATGTAAGCATGAATTATCATCACATTAATATGCAATAGAGTTTAAAATGTTTCTTCTGTTAGGTTGCATTTTGGATAAAAGAGGTGTTCTTGGTGGTTTGTGGTGGTTTGGTGGTTTGTGTGTTTGGATCCACTCAGCATTACTGTAAATGAGTTCAGGCTAACTGACCACTAGCTTTTACTCTTATATAGCCATTTTAGTATGTTGGATGATGCATTTACTTAAGAGAAGCACACTCTGTGGCTGTGTCTGTAATACTTGCCTGATGTTTTTTGTCTCTAAAGCGGTGAAGACAGTGATTGAAGTTCAGCTGGGCAGCCGCAGCCTGCGACTAACAGCCAAGGGGCCCGATATGATAGGTAAGTAACCTCAGCATTAACTCTATATTTATATTACTGTTGTCAGAAAAAAAAAATTCAGTTGTCATTTTTCAGTTTTTAACATGATTTGGAAATGCCTGCTGCCCTTTACATTTATGTGTAAATTTCATGATGAATGGACCAAAAGAAATGGCCCAAAATATCTTCAGAATAAAGTCAGGTTCCATTGACTTGCATTAAAAGTAGAGTATGCTTTTTCCTTCTACTGTAACGTTCTCATTTTGGAGATGCGAGGTTTTGTTCCGACAACAGCGATATGTAATATGTTTAGGACATGTTATATAGGTACTTACATATATAATACATATGACACAGTTGTATGTAAAAGTTTGGGCCCCCTGGTCAAATTCTGTTGTGTTGATTTTCTGAGTGTAAATAAGTGAACACATCCACTACAGAGAACACACTTCTGCACATTTAACTGCACAGTTATTTGCTGAATTTAACATATTGGAATAAAATAAACATAAATTATGGTCTGTGAAAAAAATGGTGTTACATTTTATGTTGAATGCTTTCTTTTTTTCCAATATATTAAACTCAGCATCATAAAGAGAAATTGTGCACTAAAATTAGTCATATTTAAAGGTGTTCCCTGTAGAGGATGTCTGTCTGTCTGTCTGTCTCTCTCTCTCTCTCTCTCTCTCTCTCTCTCTCTCTCTCTCTCTCTCTCTGTCTCTCTCTCATGTGTGTGTTTGACACTTTGCTTTTCTGACTGACGTGGTGACAGTATGTTGCTGAGTAAAGAAGAGCTGTGAGAATCACGCAGTTTAAATTCATAAGCACAGCTTCAGGGATTTTAAAGTGATAGTTTGGTGAAAAATCAAATTAGCGCAGCTTCCTGTGCTTAGTCATGAGGACTAAAGTACAAACAAAATTCAGCTTTGAGATTGCTGCTCCTGTTTTTAGCTGTGTGATACTATGTCTCTATTTATTAATAACAGTGTCTCATACAGTGTCAGAATTCATACAATGAAGTTTATTAGAGTTACTGAACAACTCAGCACAGTTGGAGGCAAGTGTATGATAATTTAGGCATGTAGTTTCCAAGATGTTAACTTAGTGGCTGTTAGCTTTCATTGTGTTGACATATATATGTATATTTATTCAAATTACATATCAATATAATGAAAGTTAATAGTCATTAAGTTAACATCATGCAAACTGCATGCCCAAATCATCACACAGACATGTACTTATACGTTTTATTTTCATTATAAATTTATAAATATAATATATAAATTTTTATTTTTTATTTATAATTTTTGTTTCTTGATATTAGGAATTCAATTTGCACCAGTTAAAATTTAATTTACTCTAATGAAAATGAGTATTTTACTTATAAAAAATACAATTTTACTAGTTCTAATTAAATTTGTACATTTCACAAATACAAATTTACATTCTTACCAGTAAAAATTAAATTCTTGATAGCAAAAAAAAACTTTTTCTTTTTTTTTACTAATGAGACAGACAAATTCAGTAACCACATTTTAACAGTCTGATTGGTCATATCTCATCGTGCTAAAACACTCAAGTGCTGCTGACCTGTATTTGCTTCTGAACTCACACTCACGTTCATTTCCGCTGCTCAGAATCCCTCCGTTTCCCTCTTCTCACTCTCACACAAACATTATCTGAGCTTTTAAAGCTTTCCCGCCATGTTTTCACAGCTCCGGACTTTATTGGTCGAACACATCTCTGCCTGAAGCCCCAGGCTTTTACCGCTTATTTGTTTTGTCAGTCGTTTCAAAAATGGAGTTTGTATGACCTTAAAATTACTTCCACAGATCATTTATCAACTATCAAGAGACTCGCAACCCAGACCTGGAAAAGTCCAGTATGGACAGAGTGGTAAAAAGTGGGAAAAGACTGCTGAAAAACGAGAGAAAACAGAACGTAAATGTTCCAGTTACCCAGCAGTCAGGTTCATGAACTCGAGCGAAACTAAATATTATCAGAAGCTGTTTTAGAAATGGATAATCATATTTCCTCTGGAGGAGCCGCGCTAGGATTTCTATGTTGAGAGATATTCCGATTATAAATGGTTCCTTAACATGAAATGGCTAAATCTGCATGATTGTTTAATCATTTGAGGTCGTAAAATACATTACATCCCTGGTGAGAATCATACACAATCCTGACAATCGGAGACATGTAAATAATGGCACAAACGTCCGCCGTTCAATTGTTTCCAAATGGAAACCTTGTTTTGAGAGCAGCTTAATGCATTCGGCCGCAGATACAGACAGCAATACGTGTTATATGGGGAAAAAAAAACAATCGAACAAATGGCAGGAATGACATGAGACATTTGCAGCTGAAGCAGCTGAACACGATTAGGCCACGGTTTGTTTTCCAACACGCCTGCTTTTCACTTTTTTGTGGGAAAGTTCTTTCCAAAGTGATCAACCAATTACTGAACACATTCATTTACATAAACAAACCACTCAGTTTAATGATTTTCTCTACAGCGTGTTAACAGAATGAAAACAACTCTTTCAGAGAGACACTAAAGAGTGTTATCACTTAATTATCACAACAGCACTCACATTACACACTGACTGAAACACCTCCCATGTACTTCCACTAACTGGCTGCTTTTTCAAACACACCAACCTTGTGGTTCCACTAACTGGTCACTTTATTACAAACACCTGCCTTGAACTTCCACTAACTGGCCACTTTAATAGAAAAACCTACCTTCTAGTTCCACTCACTGGCCACTTTATTAGAAACACCTACCTTGTACTTCCACTCATTGATCACTTTATTAGAAACACCCACCTTGTACTTCCACTAACTGGCCACTTTAATAGAAACACCTACTTTCTAGTTCCACTCATTGGCCACTTTATTAGAAACGCTAAACTTCTAATTCCACTAACCGGCCACTTCATTAAAAACACCTGCCTTGTACTTCCATCCACTGGCCACTTTATTAGAAACACCTACCTTGTGCTTCCTCTAACTGGCCACTTTATTAGAAACACCAACGTTGTGCTTCCACTAACTGACCACTTTATTAGAAACACCCACCTTGTACTTTCACTAACTGGCCACTTTATTAAAAAACACCCACCTTGTACTTCCATTCACTGGCCACTTTATTAGTAACACCTGCCTTGTACTTGTCAATACTTGTACAGAAACTGACCGTTGATTAGGAAGGCTAATGGAAACTAAGTCTCTGACTGCACGCTAGCAAGGTGGAGCTACAAGAGAGGGGTCAAGTGGCCAATGAGTACAGTAGTTTTTCCTCGCTGTCAGCACAGAGTGTAAATGATGAGTGTTTGTTTTGCTGTGTGTTAGTGATTGAAGCCCACTCACCTGGTGGACGGAGAGAGGAATTAGCCTTCACATCCACAGGCTCATACACCCTGGCTAACAACACTGTGGACTACCAGAAAGGAAGCGAGAGACAAACTCTGCGCTGTCACGGGCCTCTGTCTGCAGACTTCACCATCAAGGTGGGTAACAAATAAGGCGTGGCTGCACTCTCAGAAACAACAGCTGCTAAACTGTGCCTTTCAAGAGCCATCATTTATCACTGAGGTGCTACAGTGCAGTACAGTAAATACTTTCATTAACTTCCTCTTTAAACTTAAATTAAGCACAAATTATTCATTTTTCAGGAGATATTTCTGAGTACACTAGATAAGATTGACCACTCACATAAGAAAGGAGAAAGTCAAAGGAAAATAAGGCTTTGCTCGCACTGCAGGGCAAATCGGATTTGTTTCTTAGATTTGACTTTGTAGACTGGCCACTTCATTAGAAACACCTCTGCTTCCACTTGTGCAATTGACCAAATCTGATTTGTAGAATGAATAGTGTAACATTTTCTCGCATGTCCATGTTGTTGCCATAGTAACGTTACACGTCCATATGCTGACCAGGCAGGAGCAAAATTCATCAAACCTAACAATGATAACTAGCTAATAGAACGTTTACACTATATTTCACAACAATTTTCAAATTGAATCAAATCAAAGTTTTTTTGTTATATTATTTTTCACTGTATAATGTTATGTTTGCATAACATGATAATGTTTTGTATTCCAGTCAACCTTTTCAGCTGTTTTACTGTCTAGCCATCTGAAAAGCTTGTATTTGCTAAAAACATGGTTTAAAATATATGACAAATGGTTAAATTCACTTGTTCATTCATACTGAGTTCTGCAGTAGGTGAGGACATTTAGTCCTTCTCCCAGAGAGCTGCAGGCTGTCCTTCAGGAGCATCTCCTTCAGATCATTAGATCCAGGTGCGTTAGATCAGGATTAGAGCCGAATCCTGCAGGACAGCGGTGTGCTGGGACGAGGATTAGCTCCCGCTGTGTTAGGCTTTGATCCGCTAGCACTCTTTCAGCTTCTCATTACTGCGTGGCTGTGCTCAACACGTTCACTCTGGGACCCAAATTGGGTTATTAAGGCTACGTTCACATTAAAAGGTTTTAAGTGTCTCAAATGTGTTTTTTTTGTGTCCCTAGAGCGGATCTGTTTTTTATATACTTCACTGAACAATCTTTTCTTCATTGAAAAGTGATCAGGATTGGAACGTGAAGCAGCCTGTGGGGTTGTTCACATTCACACAGCTGGCTTTCTTTCTTAAATCTGTTTCTTGGACTGACTTTCCATATTACAATTTACAATTGACCAAATCTTGATTTATGTGTTCAGACTGCAGTATGTTCAACTGCGATATATAAGCCATACAGATGTAACTTTAGAAGAGGCGTCCAATTATTCATTATTATGGTATAAAAGGAATCTACTTAACTATTTAATGCCTACTTAAAATACATATTAACATATGCAAATTATTTGTAATTGTTATGAAATGTTTTCAAGTATCTAAATAGATGCTTAATACTTCGTTATGCATATTTATATGAATATTAATGTTATAATATTTATAATTATTAAGTTCCTACAGTTTAATACATACAGATTATTTCTGTCACTAATAATTATAATCCAAATAGTATTCAAATGGTATCATTTATTAACGTATATGTAACTATTATATAAATATTAACAGTCATTAACAAACTATTAACAATTAAGTTGTCATTTGTTAAAGACAATGTTTTTTAGATGGTTTCTAGTTCAATATCGATTATATCTTGGTCTTCTGCAGTTTTGACTTACTTTATGCTTTTTTTACGGTTTTAACAATAAAAATAAAAATCATATATTAAATAATATAATTCTGAGTAACTCAGGATCTTCTGAAAACTGCTTCACCAGTCGTTTTACTAGCTGTTACTGCAAACATATGCATTCATGAGCTCATTCTGGTGCAGATTTATGGTGATTTGCATGCTAATAGCGCTCCCTCTTGGAAAAACTTTAACTGCAGGTCATTTCCAAAGCCACGTCCACAAGCTATTTTCCATGGTTAGAACAGTGTCACTCTGGAATTCAGCCTTTGGAAAACATGTAGTATTGTATTTTCACAATTTTCATAAGTTTAATAACTGAAACTACTTGGACACCTTACACACACACACACACACATTTTCCAAACCACTTATCCTCCTGGGTCACGGGGGTGCTGGAGCCTATCCCAGCTGTCATCGGGCGGAAGGCAGGATACACCATGGACAGGTTGGGACATCTTAGCTGTACGGAAAATATTGCATTTTTTTCTTTGTTACTTTTTTTCTGATCCTGTTTTACCAGTGTTGGCAGGGATCAGAGGAACTTTTCTTACTTCTAAATGTTCCAGGGCTAAAGCTAATTTAGCTGCTCTAGGGTAAAACACAGTGACTTTAGCTCAGTTGTTTTCTGAAGTGAGTCACACTGAAGTGAGCTGAAGTTCCAAAACACAGCAGCATTTTTTGGTTCCATGCACTCAAGCTAAACTTAACATAAAATAAAATAAGCTAGTAATGGTGCATAGCAGAGAGAACTAACAGTCTTCTCTCTCGCTCATGAAAACATGGAAGGAACAAGAAAAACAGGGGCCGTATTACAGAAACTTCTTAATTATGAAATCTGATCTGTTTAGTCTCCATGACGACTTCAGTTAGGACTGAATTTAGGACAGTAGCTATTACAGGATAACAGTTCCTAACTTCATAATCTTATTCATAACTCCAGATAAGAAAACAGTATCACACAAACATCCTAACTAGACTAAACCTCCTAAATACTGTCCTAACTTTACGATAAACCCCAACAGCATCCTAACTTCTGTTTAAGCATCTGTTTCTATCATTTTTCGGCGGCTGGGTCAGGCAGCATAGTTCACTACTAGCATAATGACGCTACGTTTAATTACACTGTAAAATGCAGCTTTCACTTGTGAGATGTTTTTCTTTTCTAACTCTGCACTTTAAAAATGTCAGACACTGCAGGCACACAATTCCCACCGTCCCCTCTTATTACCTTCATGTGTTAATGTTGATGATGAAATATTACAGTGATAGTGGTGAATAATCAGGAGACAGAGCTGTTTGTTGAGTGTTCTATGTGAACTATATAAAAATGAGGACAAACCAAAAGTATTTCTCTTAAAATGATCTGTGTGTCTGTGTAAACACAGCAATATCAGATTATGCTGTGTTTCTCCCAGTTGTGTTTGTCTCAAATCAGCCCGCAAAAGACACAGAGGTTTATGATGACTTGCCGATGTCACTGCAGCTTAGCCAGAATTGAACATGACTTATTTCTCCTGCCAATTGAAGCAGCATGTTGTGGCTGCTTAGCTAATGATTGCGGATTTGGAAAATCAACAGTGGGTTAGATTCAGCGGCAAGTTATACACGCTGCGTTTCGCATGGAGCCGATGACGTCGAGGCATTTAGAGTTGGAGCGCAGCCTACAGAGTGGGTGCATTATACGCTGTAAACATCAGAACGGCTCAGTTTAGAGAACATGTGATGAGGGTGCTCCTCTGTGGCTGGATTTGGTAACGAAAACCTGGTGTTTCAGATGATCATGTTTTTAATGTGTAAATTCAGTATGGGTGACAGTTTGGAAATTGAGCCCCACATTTTCTCCCTTTCTTGTGATGTCAGCATTTAAAAATTTCAGGTGTTTAAACCATGTTTTAAAAGGAGTTTAAAAGTTTTCTTTTACAGACTAAACTCTCAAATCATTATTTAGGCGTTAGCATTAGCACAGAGCTGATTTATGCCAGCTAAATTGCTACATCGAAAAATAATGCTGTAAATTTCAAATGTTTGAAAATTTGCATACAGAACAAGTTTGAACCAAGCTTGCAAATTAGAAATGATCGGAGCTGTGAAGGTGGTTGGCATGTTCCTTTGTTGCAGGGGTGTTGAACTGGGTTCTTTCCAGGTCACAGCTCTGCAGAGATTAGTGTTTTCCCTCTTCTTATGCTTTGAATTTAACTCAAGAAGGCCTTGCTAATTAGGTAATGAGTTGATTCATGTTTGTTTAATGAAGAGGAACGTTAAATACTGGAGAGCTGTCGCCCGTGATCAACCCAGTCTGAAACCACCATCCAAAAAAGTTATGGGAATTCAATTGAAGTGCTTTTGTTTAAATATTTCACATATATGTGCTTAAAGTCTTGCGTCTTGTCTTAGCTGAAGTATGCTGCTCCCAAAGACACGGTGATGCAGTTCATGTTCTACCAGCCCATCCGCTACCAGTGGAGAGAGACGGACTTCTTCCCCTGCTCCGTTACCTGTGGAGGAGGTTTGCATCTTTAGTTTTAGCACTGGAGCTACAAAGCTAATGTAGCTAACAAGTAATGGAAGCTTATGTACACCAAATAGCAGGATGCTAAATGCATGATTAATTCATCACATGCTTGCCTCAAACTGCATCTAGTGATCTTTAATAGACCTGATAATGTGGCTTCTGACACTATGACAAAGTGTTACCAATAGCATAGCTAAAATCAGTAATAGTAACCAAGCTTGAATGTTGTCCAAACATTTTTAAAGGAAACAGTACAATGTCTCTCGCTAACTCAGCATACCGGACTGTTCTCAGGCTACCAGCTGAACTCGGCCAACTGCATGGACATCCGCTACAACAAGACCGTCCCGGACCACCACTGCCACAGCTACCCGGAGAACAACAAGCCGAAGCCCAAGCTGAAAGAGTGCAACATGGACCCCTGCCTCGAAAGGCTGGTTCCACATTACACTCACTCTACCACACACATGCTCTGCATGGCGCACAACTGTGATCCGTGTCAAACCACACGCCAAAGCAAGCAAACTTCAGATCCATATGCTGCTGTTTGACTTTATAAGGCGAACGCTCAGCGGTGGCATTTGACACTGATGGATGCAGACTAATAAACCCTGGGAGAGGTCACATGACTCACGCTCATATGTTTGTTTTTCTTGTTTTGAGAATGGAGATGAGTTGAGGTTTGAGATTGAAACGTTTTGGCTCGTTTTTCTCCACAGTGACGGCTTCAAGGAGGTGATGCCTTACGATCATTTCCAGCCTCTTCCACGGTACGTTCTCACACTGATCCATGTTTAGCTGAAGAAAACTGTACAAGCGTGACCTTTGACCATATACACTGCCGACGTAGATCTTCTGCATGTTTTCTTAATCTTTTTTTGGGCAATTTTTTTTTACTCAAAATATAGTGTCAAAATATAAAATATATTTGCATATATTTTTATATCTTTTATGCCTTTGTCCTATGACCCATTGCCTTTTGACCCACAAAAACAAAAAGTGTGGGCACCCCTGTTTAAGAGTGTGCAAAGGATGACGTGTTGGTCACTGTGTGTGTAGGTGGGAGCAGAACCCCTGGACGTCGTGCTCGGTGTCGTGCGGCGGGGGCTCTCAGGAGCGCTCGGTAGTGTGTGTGGAGGAGGACATGCAGGGGCAGCTCGTTCAGGTGGAGGAATGGAAATGCACACACTCCCCTCGGCCCACCAACAAACAAGCCTGCAACAACTTCCCCTGTCCTAAATGGGTCGCAATGGAGTGGTCTCAGGTACACATACCACACTGCTCCACATTCATCCCCTCGTCTTTCTGTTCGTCCATCCATCCATCCATCCATCCATCCATACAATAATCCATTTATCCATCCATTCAACCGTTCAGTCATCTTTGCATCCACACATCCATCCAGCCATCCATCCATCCATTCATCGATCTATCCATCCATCCATTTGTCCATCCATCCATCTATCCATTCCTCCATTTAGCCATGCATTTAGCCTGCCATGCATCCATCCATCCATCCTTCCATCCTTTCATTCATCTGCCTATCCGTCCATCCATCCATCCATTTATACATCCATATTTCAGTCCATCTTTCAGTCTATCCATGTATCTGTCCATTCATCCATCAATCCATCCATCCATCCATAAATTCCATCCATCCTTTTATACATCCATATTTCAGTTAATCTTTTAGTCTATCCATGTGTCCATCCATTAGTCTATCCATCAATCCATCCATCTATTCATCCATTCATTCATCTATCCAGCCATCCATCCATCCATCCGTCCATCCATCCATCCATCAATTTATACATCCGTATTTCAGTGCATCTTTCAGTCTATCCATGTATCCATCCATCTGTTCATCCATCCATCCACATTCATTCATTCATTCAGCTATCCAACCATCCGTCAAACCATTGTCATCCATCCATCCATCCATTCATGTCATGCATCCAGTCATCTATCCATGCATCCATCTATCCAGCAATCCATTTGTCCGTCCATTTATACATCTTTTAATACATGCATCTGTCCATCTATCCATCCATCTATCCATCAATCCATCCGTCTATCCATTCAGCCATTCATTTTCCATCTGTGTGTCTGTCCATTAAGGCTGCAACTAATAATCATTTCTAGAACTTTTTTACTTATGGATTATTATATGATTGTTAACTAACCAAACCAATATACTTTTTGCTGCAAGCATCAGGGATCCGTCTGGACAACAAGAGATTTCTGCTTTTACGGAGTAACAATACAATAGAACAATGTCGCCCCCTACCTTCCTGTAGTCTATTACAATCTGTCAGAATGACTGCGTGTTTTGTGTTTAAGTAAATAACACATAGGCAGTAAAACAGTGATTTGCTTCATACTGGATGTCATTGGCCAGTATTCGAGTTTGTTGAATCGTTGCAGCTCTACTGTTCAACTGTTAATTTAGTAGCCCATCATCCGTCCATCTATTCATTCATCAGCAATATCCATCACTGCTTCTTCACTTTAATATTAGAGAATAGTACAACATTAAGAGCAAAGTGTTTTATGATGGTAAGATTTGGAAGATTATGACATTTCTCTCTTCCTCTTTCTCTCTCTTTCTCTCTGGATGTTGGTGTGTGTGTATTCTCTCAGTGCACAGTGACTTGTGGGCGAGGCTTGCGGTACCGTGTGGTTCTCTGCATTGACCACAATGGGCAGCACACTGGTGGCTGCAGCTCCAACCTCAAACCCCACATTAAAGAGGACTGTCTGGTACCCATCGCGTGCCACAAACCCAGAGGTACGAAAAGGTGGAGGGTTAACCCCATAAAATGCAGGCTTATTCAGATATTAATCTTAAAAATAGTTTTATTCAGTGTCTACTTTGAATTTTTCAATATGTGCTATGAATTTTTCAGTATCTACGCTAGATTATCCAGGAACTACTATGAATGACTCAATAATTCTTTATCTACTAAGAATTATTCAGTACCTTGTATGTATTATCAGTGTCCAGTATAATTATTCACTATCTATGTCTAATGAAATATTCTGTAACAACACTGAATTATTTAATATATACTATGAATTATGTCAGTAAATACTGTGAATCAATTAGTATATATCCATGAAAGTAATATGTTCTGTAATAAATGCTGTTGTTACGAGAGTGAGGGACTGAACTTTAGAGTTTAAGGGGCTAATATTTTAGAAATTATGTGTCTGTTTTGATGTAAATCCTGTTATGCTGTGAGTCTGTGAGTCTCTCAGCATGCTCAGTCATCTGGAATGAGAACATTGGCTGTGTTTGAACTGTTCGAGCTACTTCATCACTGAGAAACACGGATAACACCCCTGTCTCGAGCACAAGAATGTGTGTTTTGAATGACAAAATTTAGCGCTTCTCCACACACTGTGAGTTATTGTGTGTGCCAGGCTTTGTTTTAACTCACTTTTACACCTTTTGCCTGCTGTAATTGGCTGCTTTATCTATCTTTTACTTTCTCACTTCTCTCTCTCTCTCTCAGTGTCTCCCTTTCTCACAATAAATGAGTCAGAGTTTGCAGGCATGCCAGTCTAGGAGCCTCCTCCATATGCTAAGCAACGTGACTTCAGAAGTGCAGAAATGATTGACATAATCTGCACAAGTCCATAAATAGAATTACTGTTTTTTTTTCTCAATTTTGCCGAATGTTTTCCTGAAAGCGGATGAGTCAGGCTTTTGTTTCCGAGGGTATTAAGGACATACTCACTCAGTCCTTTTGCATGGTGGAGGTGTTTTGGCATCCTGCAGCTGTCCTCCTTTCGCAAAGCCCCCTCACGGGTACTTAAGTGTGAATGTAGCGTGAGTTTGTAGGTCTTAGCTGAGTTGTGTGGTTATTTCTGTTTTAAATGACAACACAGTTGATCACTGCCAGGATATTAACACTGTTTTTTTACAGTAAAATACTGTATTTTTCAATTTATTGTGAAATCAACTCGTTTTAAGACATTTTCTGGAAAAACACAGCAAATTGCTGCGAGGTGGACATTCAGCTGTACTGCACAGCTTTATGGGATATGACAGCAACTGAGAGTTTAAAAAAGGCATAAAGATTTTAATAAAAACTATGTGTTTTTGTTCCGGTTCTTCAGCTCTGTTCAATTTTAAAACCTTCCTACAGCTTCCTACAAACTTTTGAACAGTATCATGCATTTTTCAGTAGCCATTTTCAGTAATCTCAAATCAGTCACTTTTGCACTTGACCCATGTTTGACATCCTTGCAGATCTGAGTCTATCCTTCTTCCTATTTAATCTACACCACCTGCTCTTATGCCAAATGTTCAGAGGACTGCCATTACCAAAACCCAGAAATCCCCCCCAAAACCCTTGAATCCAAAGTCAAACCCTCAGCCCTCAGCACGTCCTCTGCTTTACTGCTGCCCTGCAGTTCCCGCCAGCTGTGATAATCGCTCCCCTCTTCAATAAACAGCTGTGAGTGTAAATATTTGATTGGCTCAAACAGCTTTATACAGACCTTTATTGACGATGTTTGGGTTCGGGTGGGGTTTGGGAGATGTTGTTTGGGTTTCTAGGCTTTAAGAGCTGCTGGAATGAGCTGTGGGGTATTGGAGTGGAGGTTGGAAATGATGGAGTTTAGAGAGGATGACTGGAGGTGCTGGAGTCATGGTGAGCTTCAGTGATGGTGGTGAATGGAAGTGGTTGGTTTTGATGTTGGTAGAAACTGGCAGTGATTGGGAGTTCAAGGATGGTAGTGTTTGATAGTAGGGAAAGGAGGTGGTGGGGTTTGTTGATCATGGGGAGTGGAGGTGGTGGAGTTTGTTAATGGAGATTGGAGGTGGTGGGGTTTGTTGATCATGGGGACTTGGGGACTGGAGGTGGTGGAGTTTGTTAATGGAGATTGAAGGTGATGGGTTTTTTGATGGAGGTTGGAGGTGGTGGAGATTGTTGATAGTGGAGATTTGAAGTTGGAGTTTATTGATGGAGATTGGAGGTGGCATGGTTCGTTGATGGTGGGGGTTGGAGGTGGTGGGGTTTGTTGATGGTAGGGTTTGTTGATGGAAATTGGAGGTGGTGGAGTTTATTGATGCAGATTGGAGGTGGTGAGGTTTGTTTATGGAGAATGGAGGTGGTGGGTTTTTTTAATGGTGGGGATTGGAGGTGGTGGAGATTGTTTATAGTTGAGTTGGAGGTGGCGGGTTTTATTGATGGAGATTGGAGGTGGAGGGGTCTGTTGATAGTGGGGGTTAGAGGTAGCGGGGTTTATTGATGGAAATTGGAGGTGGTGGGATTTGTTGATGGAGATTGGAGGTGGTGGTGTTTGTTGATAGTGGGAATTGGATGAGGTGGGGTTTGTTGATGGTGGGGGTTGGATGTGGTGGAGTTTATTGATGCAGGTTGGAGATGGTGGGGCGTTTGATGGTGGGGATAGGAGATGGTGGGGTTTGTTGATTGTAGGGGCTGGAGGAGGTGGGGTTTGTTGACATGGTGATTGGAAGTGGTGGATTTTGTTTGTAGTGGAGATTGGAAGTGGTGGGGTTTTTTGATGGAGATTGGAGGTCAGGGGTTTGTTGATTGTGGGAATTGGAGGTGGTGGGTTTTGTCGATAATAGGGTCAAAGTTTGGAGGTAGAGGAACTTATAGCGGACTTAAATAGGAAAATGTTGGGTGTAAAAATGGGTTTTGAAGGTTTATGGATTCGTTTGTTTGGAGATAGGGAGGTTTTCAATTTTTTGGATTTTCGATTTTCTGTAAAATACAATACATTCACATGCTTTACAAACAAGATGCCTGTAAAATAATCTAAATTTAGCAGCAATATTTTAGAGTTGGGGTTTGGAGTTGATGGAGGAGTTAAAGGTGTTTGTTGAGTTTTGGAGGTGGTGAGGTTTGGTATATATGGAGTGAGAAAAGTTTTATCAGGTCTGGTGTTTCAGGCAGATTCACACAGAGGCAGTGCTAGAAATCCTGGGCTCTCTGACGAAGTAACACACACTATTAGTTGAAAATGACATCTAAACTCAATGGCATGTTGCAGAGATCCTGTCTGGTCCTGTGTTACAGCGCCCCTGGGGGCAGACGTTCTAATTGGCACTAAGCTGTGTAGGTGTTATAGTGTTATCTCTTTCACTTTCAGCGGCGTATCTCTATTCAGAGGAGAGAGCGCGGATATGAACACTAAATCTAGTGTAGATGCAGCTTTTATCATGAATCTGATGAATGAGCTGTAAAAAAGCTGTGAGTGTAGATTGCATTAACTGTGGTGCATTAGGTCTTGTAGGCTTATTGTCTTGCACTGAATCCCTGTAAGATTTGGGCTAATGAATACAGTCTTTTGTGCATTTACTGCAGCACCTGTGCTTTAGGCTCTCTAGTGGCCTACATTTTATGCAGTGTTCTGACCCCCAGGTGTGTGTTGTAATGGAGTCCTGAAAAACGGTTGCAGTTACATTGAGATAAGAAATATGCAAAACCAACTTCTAAGACTGAACTTTGGAGGTGTGTCTGCAGATTTCTCTGACAAACTGAAAGTGAGTCTCCTGAAAAGAATGGAATTAATGGAATGCTGTAATTAAGGCAAAGAGTGGATACATGCCAAAATCTTATATTTAGTCAGTGTGGCGTGATTTACATCTGAATACGTATCTAATGTTAGTTTTGACTGTAAATGAAGTAAAGTGAACATGGTCTCTGATTTTTGCACAGTCCTGTACATTACACATTATTATTACTATAAATAGGTACTAATCTCTCTGCTCTGCTGTTTTAGAGAGCGTACCTGTAGAGGCCAAACTCCCTTGGCTAAAACAAGCACAAGAGCTGGAGGAGACCAAAGTGGCCACAGAGGACCCGACGTGAGTTTTTCATTTTAATACCTGAAGTTCACTCATTACTGCTGTTACTCTTCTTTGCCTCTAATTATCTAATATACTTATGTAGTGAGTATGGCTGAAGTTGAAATCAGGCTGCATGGTTGTCCAATACGTTCCTGACTATCAATAATAAGTAATTCAGTTTTGGCTGTGGAATTGGAGCTGGAATAAAACGTGTAGGGTAACATGAGGAAAGAAGCCCCCAAGGGTAAGATGTCCCCACCCACCTTCCTATTTATTCTTCTGATCAAATAATGGGACCAAACCAAATCTCAACACATTTACTGAATGGACATGCCATGTTTTTCTCTTGCACTAGAAACAAAAACCAGTGGAAACGTTCTGTTTTACCGGTTACATTGTGCTGCTCCTGGTTTAAACTAGTGTTAGCAGAAACAGCGCATTCAAAACCAAGAGTGACTGTGTGCCTGTTTAAGTAATATAAAATCATATTGCTGTATGAAATCAGTGTACCACCATACACATGATTTTACATCATATCAGATTTTACATCATATCAAAGCAACTAGTCGCCACATCATCAGGGAGGGGTCAAAAAAACTAGACTACATTAAACCGTAGGCCAAAAATCTAAACATTTCAGTCCAGAATGTCACATTATGCACTAATTTTACTGTAACATTCATTGGCAGCTTAGCATATCGTTGCTGTCCAAAGAAAAACAAGGATCTCCAAAATAGTAACTTTACAGGAGAGGGACAATCACACTTGCCTTTCAATGTAAGTTAATGTAAAGAGATTTTATTCCAAGTGATTTTAGAGCATTTCTATTGGTCCTTAATCATAATATTTTTAGGGGACAGCTAGTGTGTTGAAAGGATTTAGAAAAATAAAAATTGACAAAAATGAAGATGAATTGTTTATCATTGGACAGCGACGATATTTTAACCTAATTTGTGTGTTATTATAATTTATATTACTTACAAAAACAAAGATTGGATTAAATTAATTATCAGCTGAAACTCCGTATTAAAGGACTCAAATTAGAGGGCTGGTGGAGGGGCTAAATCAAGGCATCCCTATATAATCATCAGAAGATTCCTAAAGAACAGGTCATTTTATATGTTAAACTAATACAGAATAGTCAGTCCAAACTACCTAGTTGGCAGTGGTCCCATGGTCAGAACCACTGATGAAGGGCTAGAAGACAGTTCACACTAAGAAAGACTGTGTAAGGATCATGCTGTCTCATATCCATGTTTTTACAACGGTCTGAATAAAATGAACATTAATACATGCCATATTAAAGATTGTGTAGCAATTTTGAATCTATCTGTCTATATGAATGTGTGTGTGTAAAAGTGGTACTGATTAATATTTGCATATGTAAATTTGTACTCGACACATTTTAAAAAATATGTGGAAATGTACTTCTTTGTGCATATGTAGGGTTCCCTCTGACCCCAAATGTCCGTCAGCTTTGGCATCTTCTTTGGTGTCTGAAGTTTGCCTCTTTGAAGAATACATTGAACAAGTAATGGAAAAACAATACAGAGTTCAATACAGAGAAACTACATAATCAAGTCTATTAGAGATACTGAACAACACACAGTTTGAGGCAAGCATGTGAAAATTTATGACATGCAGTTTGCATAAAGCTTGTGGAGTATAAGCTTCTATTAATGAGCTAGAGTAATCTCTAAGCTCTAGTGCAAAACTAAAGAAGCAAACTTTGCATGTTGACTTTCCTCGTGTTACCTCAGCTTTTCTTCTGTAGGGCTCCATCTGAGCCCCCTGTGCATTGAGCTTTTTTAGTGCTATCTTACCCCATCTCTGAAACGATAGCTCCACTAATAGCTGCCAGGGGAGTAGAAACAGCTCAATGGTTCTCCACCCCCATCACCGAAATCCACAAAAGGGAAAGCCTCCAGCATCCTGGATGCTTCAGGCCTGCGGTCAACCAAAGGCATCTATCACTGAGACTCGTAAAAGAGAAGCATGTGGGGTGAAAGTGTTTAAGAGCTTCAGAGAAGAGACCAGAACAGGGAGCCCCCTGTTACAGCGTGTGTGTGTATTAGTGTTTGTTTTTGTATATTTTCAAGATGAGCAAAGTTCTGACTTTGTAGGAAAACCAGAGAACAACAGTTCAGACCTACAGGACAAACACAATACTCTTAAATTTAAGTGTGTATGTATGTATGTGTGTGTGTGTGTGTGTGTGTGTATATATATATATATATATATATATATATATATATGGGACATGTTACATAAGCACATACTTATGGGACATATTATTATTATTATTATTATTATTATTATTATTACACAAATGGTACACTGTAAAAGTCAGAAGAACACAGAAGATAATGGTGATGAAAACTCCTTGGCCAGATCAAGACCACCTGCCAGGTGGTCAGCGTGCCTGTGATGAAGACAACAGTCAATAGCAGATGTCCACAGACCAAATAGGGTAAAGGGTAAACCAATGGTTAGCCTCAAAAACAAGAAGACCAGATAAGAGTTTGCCAAAAAACATCTAAAAAGCCAATATAGTTCTGGAACAACATTTTATGGACAAAGATCAACAGAATGATGGGAAGAGAAGAGTATGGAGAACTGCTCATGAACTAAAGCATACCACCTCATCTGTCAACATGGTGGAGGTAGTGTTATGGTGCCGGCATGTATAGCTGTCAGTGGAACTGATTCCCTCATATTTATTGATGCTGTGACTACAAACAAAGCAGCAGGAGGAATTCTGAAGTGTGTAGGGTTATATTATCTGCTCAGATTCAGCCAAATACTCCGGAACTTATTCAGCGGCACTTCACAGTGCAGGTGAACAATGACCTGAAGCATACTCATAATGTGAAAGCAACCCAAGATTTTTATTAGGCAAAGAAGTGGAATGTTCTGCAGTGGCCGAGTCAATCACCTGACCTTAATCCAATCAAGCATGCATTTCACTGACTAAAGGCAAAACTGAAGGGAAAACAGGGGAAGAAACCCAGTGTCTAGTGATGTTTATGGGCTCCAGACTTCAGGCAGTCATTAACTGCAAAGAATCTGAACAAGTGTGTAAAATGATAGTTTAACTATAGATGGATGGATGGATGGATGGATACTTTATTGATCCCGAAGGAAATTTAGCACCCAGTAGGAGTCACACAACACAGGATAGTAATAAGGGTGTAAACAATATAACAGGAAGAATAAATATAAAAAATCCTATCTACAGGCATATATACACATAGAAAAATACAACAATCTGGAATAATATCTGAAGGTGGCAGTGCAATAATGACTGTACAAGGAGGCACAGGTAATGGCATATAATGACAATACTGAATAAATATGTGCAAATATGTACAGGTAAAGGCATATAATGACAATACTGAGCTACTGGAAAGGCTGCCACTCACAGTGGTGCCGGTTAGTTTGTCCATTTACTTTTAAACCCTTAAAAACTGGGAGATCTGTTAATGAACATGGTTGTAATTTCACCTGATTTGGATGTAAATACCCTAAAATAATGCTGAAAGTCTGCACTTTGAGCTCATATTTAGTATATGTAGGTATATAATATGGAATGTGGTTCTGACCCCACGTCCTGATATTGTGTAAAACAAGAATATGCGTGTTCTGCTTAAAGACAGTTTAGATCTACTGCCTGCCTAATAACTGCCCTTGAGTTACGCTCCTCAGTGTCGTATATCACTCAGCTGCAGGCATCCTATCCTGTTCTGCTCCGTCGCTCTGCTTGCTAAATTTAGGGGAACCCAGGGAGGTTAGCTGCTACTGCGCTAATCGGCACCATCAGAGAATGACCCCAGTCCACTACGCTGTGGAATTTGTTGCTGGACGAGCGCCTGTGTTACTCTAGGATTTACTGTGGAGAGTTTGGAGTCTTGTATTGAGCTTCAGATAAGAAAGACCAAAGGACTTCCATTAAAATCTATCTTCCTTCTGCTGCTCTGCTGTTAAAGCAAGAAATCACGTGTGAAATTTCCTCTTTATCCCAAATGTTTTCAGTCAGCCAAGTCATGTTTGGCATCTGACGTTTGCTTCTTACATTTTGCACTAGAGCTATGTGGCTAATGTAGCTAACAAGTAATAGAAATGTATACCTCACTGATTAGCCTTATGCAAACTAATCAAATAATCACAAATGGCTCAAACGATGTGGAGTTGTTTAATAATCTCTAATAGCCTTGCTTACATGGTTTCTGACACAATATGACATACTGATACATGAATAAAAGTATGGATTAAAAGCTACGGGCATTATATGCTGTGAGGTGGCATCTCAGAAATGAATGCTTCCCTTTTTAATAAGTGCACACCGTAAAGGCCCAAGCCTGTTTTCTCGATCACTCAAGGCTGTTTTAATTCTGACATCATGATAGCCCCCTAATAACACACCCACATTAGTCCAAACATGACATGTTTGGGGCTTATGGGGAATTACAGGTCTCATAAAGCTTAATCCTTTAAAGCTGGGAGAGTGTTTGGACAGCAGGAGCCCGAGGTATGTGTGTGGACTCCCCCTCTAACTCCAAGTCCTTAAAGGCTTTCACAGCCACAGCAATGGTTCTGACCTATTTAAAACTGTGTAGAACATTTTTACAGCATAAAAATATAAACAAAATAAAAGCATTTAGCATTTAACCAATAAGTGCAGTCGATTCAGAAGTAAAAATGATTGACAGAACTAAAAATAAGTGTAAGTTTAACTAGGCCTAGCTTCATAACTAGCATAAAAACATCTCCAGTAAGATGGCAACTATTGCTGACTTGACCCAACCAGGCTCAACTGGTAGTGCTAAATGTGAGACCCGGCCCAACCAGGCTGAACTGGTAGTGCTAAATTTGAGACCCGAACTGACCAGGCCCAACTTGTTCTGTTAAATTTGAGACCTGCCCCAACCAGGCTCAACTGGTAGTGCCAAATTTGAGACCTGACCCAACCAGGCTTAACTGATAAGGCCAGTTTTGAAAACTGACCCAACCAGGCTCAACTGG